TGCCCCACCTGATGATGCCCTTCTGGCTTTTATCCATTCCTGGGAATGACTCTTTCTCCAACTCGGGGGATGCCCGTATGGGAGAATACAGTGGCGTGGACCAGCAGTGGAGAATTCCAAGTCCAAAAAATGATTGACATTTTAAAGGAAAGTAAGAAATCATCCTGCATATGTGAAATATTGGGAAAAAAGGTTGTTACTAATAATTCTCAAGAGAACACTCTGGTGAGACTGGGTTTCTTTGGGGATGTGTGGAGCAGGGTATATGTACCGAGTGGGCACATCCCACCCTTCAGACCCCTCCCTCAGCTCCTGTCTACTGTAGCAGTCAGAGGGCAGCTCCGGCCCTCATCTCCTCTGAGCGACCCACTCACTCCTTCACTCACTCATTCACTCACTCATTAACTCATTCACTCACTTACTCATTCACTCCTTCACTCGCTCACTCACTCATTCACTCAGTCGTTTACTCATTCACTCACCCTTTTACTCACTCATTCATTGACTCATTCACCCACTCATTCACTAACCTATTCACTCACTCACACACTCACTCATTCACTCACCCATTCACTCACTCAATCACTCACTCATTCACTCATTCACTAAGCCATTCACTCACTCATTCACTCACCCATTCACTCACTCATTCATTCCCTCATTCACTTACTCAGCCATTCACTAATTCACTCTTTCACTCACTCACCCATTCACTCATTCACTCACTCACTCATTTCCTCACCCATTCACTCAATCATTCACTCACTCACTCATTCACTCTTTCACTCACTCATTCACCTCTTCACTCATTCACTCACTCATTCATTCACTCACCCTTTATCACACACTCACTCATTTATTGACTCATTCACTCACTCATTCATTCATTCACTCACTCACTTCCTCACTCACTCATTCACTTGTTCACTCACTGACTCATTCACTCACTCTTTCCCTAACCCATTCACTCACTCACCCACTCATTCGCTCACTCACTCATTCACCCACTCACCCATTCACTAAGTCATTCATTCACTCACTCACTCATTCATTCACTCACTCACTCATCACTCGTTTATTCCCTCGGTCACTCACTCATTCACTCACTCACTCATTTATTCACTTATTCACTCTCACTCATTCACTAAGTTGCTCATTCATTGACATACTCACTTATTCACTCACCATTCACTCACTCATTCATTCATTCACTCATTCTCTCACTCAGCAATTCACTCACTCACGTTCTCTCATTCACTCATTTACCCACTCACTCCCTCATTTACTCCTTCATTCATCCACTCACTCATTCACTGACTCACTCACTCACCATTCAGTCATTTACTCATTTACTCCTTTACTCACTCACTCACTCCTTCATTCATTCATTCAGCAGCACCCATGACAGGTTCACTCTGTCCTGGGCTCTCCTGTTGCCCTGGGCCTGCAGCAGGGAATAGTCAAAGAGCTCTGAATCCACAGCATTCAGAGTTCAGCAGGGGGACCTGTCGAGAAGCCCAACAGATAGGTGAAATGCCCCATGTGTGACACTGATGAGGATGTTTTAAGAGAAGCAGGGAGGGAATAGGAATGTGCATGGGGCCCAAAATTTCTGAGAGGGTGATCCGGGGAGGCCTCACCATGCAGGAGACCTTTCAGGACAGACCTGAGGAAGGTGGGCAGAGTGGGTAGGGAGAGGAGGGCCTGGCCTGAGGAAACAGCAGGCTGGGCCTGAGGTTGTCGGGGGCCTGAGGTTGTCGGGTGCCCGCATGGGCCTCTGGGCAGCACCAGGATCTGATGGGAGCAAAGGACAGGCCAGTGGGCCATGTGTGGGGCCTGTGACTCCGAGTCAGCAGAGAATATGCCTGAATTACATCCTGAGAGGTGCACCCTGACTTTGAAGCTGAGGACACCTAAGGCATGGAGGTGGGGTGGATGTGGGCACAGAGCATGGGATGGGGAGGGAGCCTGTGCCGGTCCAGGTCAGAGGTGGTGGCTTGGCCCCTGTGGCTCCAGATGCAATGAAGAGCCAAGAGGGACTTTCCTGAGCGACTTAGATGCCGGGGTGGAGGAGCACTGCAAGGTTTCAGCCTGAGTCCCTGGGAGGATGGAGTCACCAGGAGCTGAGGTGAGGAAGACTGAGTGGTGGGGAGTTGTGTGGGGGTGCAGAGGCCTGAGCTCAGTTCAGTCCCTGCAGATTTGAGACGCCCACTCCATGCACAGGCAGAGACGACAGGGAAGGGGAAGAAGTTGCAGCTCAGGTAGCCTGGAATGTGCAGCCCCACGTGCTGGGGCACTGGGTCATGGCGCCCTCATGGCTGGGAGCTGCTTCCCTCCTGGGATGCCACAACTCCTTTAGGGCACATTGGCAGCTCCTGCGCTCACCACAGAGGGGAAGTGGGAAGGGCATCTGTCCCTATGCATGTTCTCCTTCACTTTGTCCTAGGCAGGTCCCAGGCAGCACCTCCCCTCCAAGTTGCTCCCCTTGGCCCCTTCCCCTAGTTGTTCCAGCCCAGACCTCCGAAGGGCTGGACCTCAGCGGCTCACTTCTAATGGAATAGAAGCCAGGCCAAAAGGATGGCGGGTCCTCTCCCTGAGATAGGATTGGAGGGGCTGCCCAAGTTTCCGTCCCGATTGGAACTCTCCCCCTGGGGTCTTGACAGGTGCCTGTTTTTGGCAATAGCCAGTCACTTGCCCAGGGCATGAGGTGGCCGGTGCCTGAAGCTGATTTTGCCCCGTGGTGACGGAGAGGACTTATATTTTGGTTGCTGTGGGTGCGTTCTCTTTTGGTGTACTATTCATGTTTTTTCAGTCGTCCAACAGTTGTTGCCACTGTGCCTTGCCTTTGGGTCAAAGTCACAGAATGACATTAGATATATCTGCGAAGTTGGCATTCCGATTAACGTATATGTGGGGGATTACCAGGTAATGACTTATACTTTAGAATTTTTTCAAGATTGCATTGGCTGCCTTGAATCTGATGCTGGCGCTGCAGTTGATGTCAGATGTTTAAACTTCCTTTATTTTATGTCTTGTATCTGTTGTTGGCACAATTTTCAATTTGGGGAAGGGTGAGTTCATCATTAGTCCGGTATATGTGAACCTATTCAATTTTTATATGTGTACTTTTAATAAATAGGATTCCAAAGTACCATTACGTGATGGGTTTAGAGTATTGCAATTACTGCCAGCAGTTCAAGGATAAGAATTGCCACGTCGGTCACAATAGGTCTTTCATATATAATAAAACGAACCGATGTCCTACACAAAATTCCCATGATCCAATGGTCATGATGAAAAGGTTCCCCCTGGAAAATAGGCTCCGAGCTTCAAGAAAGACACGGCAGCCCCTGGGCCAAACACCTGCTGCGCGCGAGAGCCGCCCCTGGGGCCAAGGGGCCCAGTGACCGCCTGAAACTCCTGGCCCAAGGAGTAAACACTTCTTGTGGTATAACTGTGTCTGGTGTGGGGCCACAGTTTGGACTAACCTGTCAAGGACAATAAAGAACAAACACAACACCTCAGGTCCGTACTGGGGGAAGCTGCATGGTCAGCACGGCATGTAAGTATACTGTCAGGCCTCTGCGCCCCAATGCCAAGCTATCGCATCCCCGTGGACTTGCCCATGTAATACGCCAGAATGGCCTGAACAAACTGAAGATCACAAAAAGAAGTCAAGTGCAAATGCCGCGCCTTAACCGATGACCATTCCCACACAAAAGAAGTGAAGAAATGGCCGGTCCCATTTGCCTTAAAGCGATGATATATGCTTGCGAAATTCCTTTTCTGGCTCATCCTGGGCCTCAAAAAGCCTCCCCCACTGAAAGCCACCCTTGTGACCCCACTCCTGCCGCCAAGAACAAATCACCTTTGAACTGTAATTTTCCCCCTTACTTACCAATCCTATAAACGGTCCCACCCTTATTCCCTTTGCTGACTCTCCTTTCGGACTCAGCCCACTGCGGCCAGGTGAAACAACAGCCCATGTTGCTTCACAGAAAAGCCTCCTTGGTGTTCCTCACAGGGACCACAATGACAAATATCTTCCTGTCGAACTAGAATTAAATTGCTAAGGACAAAGACCTAAAAAAAGAAAAAAAAAAAAAAAAAACCTCTTAGTTGTAGCACCATTAAAATACAATTTTGACCCTGCCAAAAAAAAAAAAAAAAAATAAAGAGCATAGCTTAATTCTTTCCATTAGCTACGGTATTATATTAATTAATATGTTAATTCCCTGAACTGGGGGAGTTAATGGGGCCAAACTCTGGAACAGATGTGTGAGGACCGTCCAGTGCCACCCTGACCCCGCAGCCACCCTTATATACAACAACTTTTGAACTAATTGTAACCTTGGGGGTCTTAACCACTCTAAATTTAGTTTTTCATTAACTATTTCTTATTCCCTAAGGAATACCTGTTTCATCGAGGAGAAAAATGGCATTACCTATACTAAGGCCAAAAGAAAGGAAATAAAGATGTATCAGACATTTATATATATATATATGCAGACACACAACACACACTCACACACCACGCAACACACAAGGCTCACCACTGCGTTTAGGCTGCCCTTTTCACTATTTGTATGTTCTGAACATATTTCCGGTGTTCAGTAGACACTTATCTTCGTACGGGTAAACAGCAATAACATTATTATACACGTCCTTTGTTTTTACCATCATTATTTATAACTCCATTGTGTTTGAACTGTTAGGTTTTGTCTTCGTTTCCCTGTATTATAGACAATTTGACTGACAAATGACCAAGCCCCTAATGTTCAATATTAAAATATCAATATGTAAATAAGGAGATAAGGGGTATTTGGCGAAATGAAATTCAGTTGTGCCCCACCGTTCTCCACATGTAATATGCTCTAAAAAGGCATAATAATTAAATTAGCCCTTCTATTCTCCAGCGCAGATCCTGAGCCCAGCGGTGGGTGCGGGTGCTTAGAGCCTGGGTCTGCTCTCCTACCCGCCAAAAGGCAAAGGCCACTCAACTGCCACCTTAAGACACCCAGGATTCTCCTCTTCTTTTTTATTAATAGAATAAAGC